GAAGGACCTCCAGGCACATGCTGTTGGTGAAGTAATTCACCTCATTAGGCCTAGAACACCTAATTTTAAAACAACTGTTATCTCTCCAGTGCATCTGCAGCCACCTGACCGCATAGACATTCCTATATGTGGAAAAGGCCAAGTGTTTTGTGGTTTTGGGACTCCAACCATCTCTAAAGGCAGAAAGAGCAAAAGGAACCCACGTTTCCCTTTTACTTTACTACCCCATTTCAAAACCAAATGGACTTTACAGTGTTAGCAAGGAGGCATAAGGGATCCAGACAGTGTTCTCAGGCCAGTTTCAAGTGCCTTGGTAACACTAATGCAAGACATCATTAGACAGCCCACTACAGCAGTTAATACACTTAACAGTTTTAAATTGAGATTTTTGTGGCTTAAGAATTAAGTTTTTAGCTTCCATATAAATTACCCTGTGTATGGATGATAAAGGATGCCCAAATGTAAAACTAAAATTATGCTTTTAAACTTTAAAAAGCACTGCATAGAGTAAGACAAAGATGGAAAGACTTTCAACCACTATCAGCATATGCTCTCCAGTCTTCCCGATGAAGGAGATCTCCTGATTAACTCAGTCATTCACTACAACATGCAATCTACTAGTGCTCTGCACTGTGTTATTTTATATGTAAACAGGTACTCAGTCTCAAACAACCAATTTCTCTTAAAGAAGCTCACTTTCCAGAGAAAACTAATTCCTGTAGACAAACTCAGAATACCATCTACAACAAAGTTCTGTTAAAAGTATGAATTGCACCACCTTTACAAAGGTAGTAAACTTCATACAGGCATTTTGGGACAATAACTGAGAAACATGAGGAAGTACTCTAAGGTGTTCCACTAAACACCTATCATTCAAACACTCCAGAGCTAGAAACGTAAATAAACTGCATAGTCCCCTATACTACATGCAAGACAAAGCAGCTTTGTGATGTATCGTGGAATATTTTACCAGACTTCTACTTTTTTGATGTATCCTTTGATGTATACTATTCTTCATTTGTTTATATTAAACTGTTAATGTTTTAAAAAGTACAATTATAATAACTGAAGCAAAAGATTTTTGCAATATATCTAACAGAACAGTTGAGCCTTGTGTGTCATGGGAGATACCCAACTGAGAAAAGTAGACATCACTGTGGAATATCATTAACATCTTTTGCAAATGTAGCACTAAGCCAACACTGGTATATTCCACTTGAATTACAGGACATAAGACAGAACCTCAAGATAAGCAAAACAAAACACAGTTCTTACCCTCTTTTTACTTTTGTGAAGTCAAAAGCCACTTGTCTATAGGAAACTGCCTTTTCATTCAGATATCTGCTATACCGTCTGATAAACGTTGACATGTCATAACCTAAAAAAAAGGTTTCAGAAGCTTTAGTCAACTAAAGAACAAGAACCTTACCCTAAATAAAGTGCAAGCAATTAATGCAAGACAGCTTTATTATATTTTTGCCTGATTTTGTACAGTTAACCCGAAAAACTGTATACATCATCACATTCGCCGTATAAATCAGAAAACACTGCAACTATCTAGAAGACCTGAACTGCATAGAAGTTTACACTTCACTTCCCAAGAAAATTACTTCCAAAAGCAAACCAAAGTATTTTTATGCAAGTTCTCTCATACTATGATAGAAATTACTACTAAAAAATTTACATAACGCATTCAAGATATTTTCATTCTCTCATTTACAACCGAATACGTATAAATCAGAAAACACTGCAACTATCTAGAAGACCTGAACTGCATAGAAGTTTACACTTCACTTCCCAAGAAAATTACTTCCAAAAGCAAACCAAAGTATTTTTATGCAAGTTCTCTCATACTATGATAGAAATTACTACTAAAAAATTTACATAACGCATTCAAGATATTTTCATTCTCTCATTTACAACCGAATAGCAAAAAAAAAAAAAAAAAAAAAGGTATTGAAGGAAACATTAAGACACGACAGAAATTTTTCTGTTTTAAGACAATGGCAATGGGAAATATTTTTATAACAGTCAGCCTAAGTATACAGACAAGAAAAAGATCTGTTCATAATCTATACTGAGACCAAGGAAGTTAAGACTCAATAAAATGAGGCAATTTGGTAGACCCTTGGTTATCATTGAGAAGGTTTCTGTCCCCAGGTAACCGCTCTGTGTGCCTGTTTTAGTACATGTGTGGCAAAAATTATAAGCAGCTACATAAAAAGTTATGCAGAAAGTAAGAAACCACCTAAATCAGATCTGTTTAGCTAAGAAAGTTAGAAGCATTTATAAGTCAGCCTTTCCTAAAAGATATAAAAAATTCCTACAGCAGGCAGCTTCTGCCATGCCACAATAGCATTTTAAATTAAGAAATTTAGTCTGGGGTAAAACAGACAGAAAAATTACTTCTTAAATTACATGGTCCATTAGAATTACCAAGTTGTATTTACTGTCCCCTAGCACACTGCAAACTTTTAATGAAAAAGACGCCTTACCTTGCAATCCACTTTTGTCTAGGAAATTGCTCAGATTAAACAACGTGTTTCTGGACGCCAGATACTGGATAAAACGCTAGATGAAAGGAAAAATTTGAATGCTTTTACTGTATTATCAGTGAGCTACAACTGAGGTGACAGTACCAGAAACTCTTTTCCTCCAGCTTATGAAATTCAGTTTTTATTCCTTAAGACTAACTTCGTATCTGGAAACTATTACAAAAACTCAGATAAGTTCTCCAATTAAGCCAGTTATTTTTTACATAAAGATCTGTGAACAAATCAGTCACACAGATACTGCATGAAGGCCTCTGACTGAAAGGCTTTGTTTATTTTAAACCAGAACATGGAACTGGAAACTTCTGCAAAAATTCCCCCAAATACATTCTCATTTTACAGGCTCCCAATTGTTTTGCTGACTTCAATTTTCTAACAGTTGATTTCATTTTACCAATTAGCCACGGCATTTTTGCTCAGCATAGAATTGTAATAATACTTAGCTCGAATATGAAAATAAGGCGATGTAAAGATTAGATTGCTTAGCAATGAAACATTAAATAAACACAAGAATCCATATAAAACATTAACACAGTATGATACTTGGTACATCTCATTAGTTACTCATAATTCCAAATTATGTTTCAGGAATGCTGTTATTTTCATCTTGTAAAGATGTATTTCAGATCACTGGCACCACATCCTAATTTAGTAGGAAAAATAATTTTGTCTTATGAACCATTATATAGAGAGCTGCTACAAAAATAAACTAATCATTAGTTTGCAATAACATCTTGACAGAGGAAAAAAAATAGTTCTGACTAGTGTAAGGTGTACTACTGGTAATATATAGGTTACACATAGAAAAGACTGAAGAAGAGTAAAGGTATTTAGTACTTAGCGATATATGAATTAAGGAAAAGCTGGAGGACCAAACGCTTTTCAGTTTTTTACAAAGGGATTTACAGATTCTCTGTAAACTTCTAGACACTTTCATAAGCATTCAATTTCCATGTTAATTGTTCATGTACTAATTCTAGCTGTGAAAAGTTTCATCTTGAGCAGCAATCTTACCCTCATTACTTCTGTAACACATTTGGCAAGCAAAATTTGTTTGGCAGTTTTATTCTTAAAATAAGACAGTGGACCCTGGAATACCTTTAATTACTCTGAAGTGTATTGGTGTCAGTTTAAAATTTATACGACTCAAAGTGCAAGCACAGCAAAAGTGTACAGAAAGTGACACTATTTTGAAAGTGTCAATTATTCCAGGGATAATGCTTAAAGTCAACATGAGAAGTTTGCCCTCTTGTGGCTGCTCTAGCTTCAAAGAACAGATTTTCACCAAGACCAAAAATACTCTGCAGCTAATCTGCAAGAGAAGCCAATGCATGTATTTTTTTAGAAAACAAACCAACAAACAAGCAAAAAAACAAATAAACAAACAGAAAACTTAAACACCAACAACAATCCAGCCAGTCAGCCAGAGGAAGCAATTACACGACTTATAAAAACTCTGAATGCAACCTGAAAATTTTCGGTCTCCTCTACAAAATCCTATTCGTAATTTTCTAAAGCTACCCCTCTTAATTCCTAAATTCATATAACTTACATTACACTGACTGTCTGCAGTAAGAAGGAATGTTTACAAACATTTTCTAAGAATGTCTTAAAAGTATAATTTTTTTTAAAATGCAGAAAATTCAAGCTGCTGCTATACTTGGCTTAGTATTTTGAAAAATAAGGCCCCATAGGAATTCAAGTTGTGGAACAAAACAAGCTTATTCCTTTTTGTGTAAGTTGGGGTTTTGTTTAACTGTTCTACTGTATTTGGTCCTATTTAGATGCTCACACTCAAAGCCAGCTCACAGGCACATATTTGTCTTCACTGCGAAAGGTGAGGGGGTGATGGAAATCAGTTCAGAATCGAGTTATCTGGGAGAAAAGGCCATCTGGATTAGCCACAGCATGAACCTAAAAATGCTTCCATTTTCAGCTTTCAGAATCCCATTTAAGTTAATTTCTGTTGGTGTTGTTTGTTTTATTTTTAGAATAACACCATAGAAAAAAGGTACCTCCAGCATTCAGGACACTTACTTTGGATTCTAGAATTACAAACTTTGAAGTAGAAGCAAACTAAGTAGACAAACATCTCATGAGACCTGTGTTCATGCACAGTTAAGAGATAAAAAGGTCAAAATAAAGATTTTCTTACAAAGCTAATTAGTGGAAGCATTTAGCTGACATTTATAGGAATGAAGTGCTGCAACTGTTCTCAGACTTATTTTTTGTATTACCTCATTTCCATAGACCATTAGATGATGGGTTGTGATGAGAGATTTGAAGACCACTACCCAGCTACTGTTGGTAGTTCTTTCAAACAAACTATCTGCCAGTTGTGGGATGTTCACATTCATCTCATTTGTGCATTGGATTAAATCTGCAATACAGAAATTTTTGTTATTATGAGTTCTGTGAAGGAAGATGAGTAACATACAAAAAATATCAGTACTTTCATTTTATATAGAAATATTGAGGGGCTTCCCACTAAAATAATTTCCTGAAAAGCACTGTGGCACTCATTGACCAGAACCTTGTAATACAAATTCCACACTGTTCACTGCCAAGATTCCAGGTCCTCGATTGCTCAAAAGTTGCCTTAGAAGGTCCTGGACTAGTGTAAGTCATTGTGGTACTTCTATCTCTGACTAATAACTCCCAGCTTTCAAATATCTAAAGCATTACATAGCACAATAATTCTTACATGATACCATTTAATCAAGTTTTACTGGAAGATTATGACTAGAACTAACTGTAACCTCAGATTTCTGGCCACTTAATGGACCAGTAGTAAACCCTTCTAGATTTCGGTTCAATGTGAGTAATAAAAGATTGAAATACTGCTTAGTCTTGATGCAATGCAATCAACACCTAAGCAGCAGAGGAAATGTTAAGTGAAAAAAGAAGCCTCTAGGTACAATGCCAGAAGCTGACAGATGTACTTAGTTAAAACAAAGCAGGCTGTTAACTGAAAAGATGGTTAGGAGTACAGAAAAACCTGAGGCTGGCTAGCTAAAACAAAACTATTCAACTTTTTTTTTCAACCTGGACTTTCAATAGACAAGATCTAGTGACTCTTCAAATAGTTGTTAAAGAAAAGTTAACCTGTCTACCTTTCTTCTAGACTTTCTGCTAACACAACTGTATAACCCCAAGGAGACATATTTATAATACAACCAATATAATAATACATAACAATCCAGTAATGTATTTCCAGATGGAATGACTTAAGATCATGATGCTACAGTGACAAACACAACAGAAGTAACTATATTAAAATCCAAATGTGATAAACCACAGCTTGCTAGCATTTAATATGAAGCTTAAACCTAATGCAACTGATGACATTTTACTACTATTACCACCCTGAAAATAAAACAGTAATTTTCACTCAAACTGACAGCCCTGCCAAAGGCCATAGCTCAATAAGGATCAAGACTCGAGGAAGCCCTATGCCTGCCTGTCTAGAGGCTACTAACTGGCAACATCCCTTTAACCTGGAGGCAAACATTTAAACTTTGAAGACAATTTTATATCTTGCTCTGAACAATCATTCATCATGAAGGACTCCTGAAAGACAGGACCATCCTTCAGCCAGAGAAGCAGGTAAGTATGGTTAACAGACTCAGAACTAGAACTGAAAAGGCTGCTGTTCACAAGTTTAAGTACTTAAAGGAAGTGAGCAGGAAATGATTTCCACATTTAAAATGTAATGAAATGGAGAGATTAGCCATTCTTTTATCTACAGGTAAAACTGCGATGACTACAGGCATTCATGACCTCATTTTTAAGTCACGGTTATCTGTTATTGGATGATGACCTGGGGCTGTTAAGACAATGCTAGGATATTACTCAGCAAGAGACACGCTCTGAGCCGGATCATTAAAACCAAGGCCTGCAGCTTCTTGATCTTCAGGTCCTCCCACCTAAGTAATAACACAAGCAGTTTTGTGCAGGGCTATCTGGTAGGAATGCACATTAAATACAAAAGTAGATGCATCACAGGATGTCAAGTCATACATTTTGGCATAAGAGGTGCAAGTGCATACATATTAGAAAACAAGAATTTTTATTCTTAAATGCAACATTTGCCAGCTAGCCAACAGTAACAAAGAGGTGCCACTTGAATATCCACTATCTAAAATTACTAAAAAAAAAATCATATCTGCTCTAGATTATATTTCACGTTGGAAGAAGTGTTTTCAAAAATGCCATCAGACTTTCAAATCATGTTGTGGTATCTGTCGCAGTGTGTAAAAGAAAACAAGCTCTGTAACCCAGCAGAAAATCATCCCTCACAGAACTGATGAGTGTTTATGTGAAAAGCATATGAATGAATGGGGGGGGCGGGGGGAGAGAGGGCAGGCACATTGGGAAGGAGAACCAGTAGCCAACTGGGAGAGAACACAGGCAAGAACAGAAGTCCAGCCTTGAATGGAAGTAATTTGCAAATGCAAACAAGAGAAAGGGTCACTGTGATACCACAATTACTGCTAACTAAGTTTAGCAAAACATGAAGTTTCTTTCTCCACAAAACACAGGTTGCTTAATCATCTGGTGTACTTAATAATATGGTACGTCTTGATACCCCAACGTGCCTACATCATATACATGTCAGAAAAGTTCCATCCATCTAAAAGCTTCTTTGAAAATATTTGCATGAGCAATGCTAATTGGCTAAAGAAATATTTGTACAGTTCAATCCAAATTGGATCAGCAATTTTTGTGCTAACCATAGCATAAGCAGCATAATACAGACACAGCAGAAGAGGAGACAGTACCCCACATCCCGCACTGCTGCACTGCCTGTTCAGGAAGGCTGTCATATCCAGTGTTCTCGCTTATTTAGCCTACTCCTGCAGACACCCTTCATTAAGGGAGAGGAACAAATATATAATTATTTTCACATTCTACACTTTACGCAACTCGTCTCACACCCACCTATGAAAATACTAGCTATGTATTTTGAAATCTAAGTGCCCAAAGCAACGTATCTCAAGACTGCTAGTCAGTGGATAAGGTATGAGCCATACCACAGGCATGTATATAACTAAAGGGCAAGGCACTAAGGGGAATAGCTTTAGCCTTAGAAAAGAACAAAACCGAAACAAGCAAAAAAGCAAACAAAAAAAGGATAAACCTCCGTGAAAGTGTGACGACTTTCAGCATAACGTTTCACCTTTGATTTTCTTGTTGTAGGGGATAAGGGGGAGGATTGAATACTTACCCCCATCAATACTACCAAAAAGAAAGTCACTCTCTCTCTATTGACCTTCTGCATTAATGCCCACAACACCTCAAAGCTGAAAACGAAACTCCCCTGAGAAGTACAAACCCCCTTCCCGACTCTAAAAGCTGTTACAACTTCTGTATTATAGGACACGCAGCATACAGATATTAAATAATAAACAACAATCATTTATTCAAAGAAAGCAGCAGTTAGCAACAAGAATTTTAAGTTAAGATTGCAGCTGGCTGAGAGAGTTGTACGAAGGGAGCTCAGACAGCAACGAATGCACAGTCATAGCCACAGATGCAGCTGCAGACAGCCCAGAGAAAGGCCAGCAGGACAGCCCAGACTTAGAGCACACGATGCACAAGAAGCGGTTGAAGGAGGTGGGTTTACTCCATCTGCAGAACAGAAGGCTAAAGGCAGGGAGGAGGAATATAAATGCTATCTTCAGTCAGATGTTTCTTGGAGGTTCATAGCAAAAGGATGAGAGGCAGTCGTCATGGTGCAACAAGGGGAGTTCTTAGCAGATTGAGAAGTTATGTGTTCACAATAAAAGCAGTCAGACACTAGAGCCTGTAAGCAACGAGATTCTTTTAAAGTTTGTCATGCTTTAAGCAGGAGGTTGAGTAGAGGACCTTCTGAGGTCCCTTCCAACCTAAAGAAATCTACAATTTTATGTACTGTCTATGGAAAGAAAGTGAGAAAATGGAGACATACAAAAACAAAGAAGTGACTACAAAGTAAGTTAAAGTCCAAACGAGTAGTCCAACAAGAATATATGTCTGAAGATTTCAAAGTCTTAGATCTATTTAAATGATTGATAAAATTTACATCTTGAAGAACTCAGTCTACCTACCCACATTAAATCATACACCAAATTTCAGCAGAGATGTCAAAACTAGATTCTCCTAGCAAACAGTTCGAGTTTGTTTTTAAATAACAGAAATGGAATCTTATTTTGTTATACCAATTAAAACTTCTACCACTAAATGACTTTCACATAGTTCAGTTCTGTTTGGTTTTATGTCTTTTTTCCAAAGCGAAGATTTTGCAAGGAATCACAACAAAGGTCTGGTCTATGGACTTTTTAGTAACATTGAAGATTTGCAATTATACCTGTTCCAAAGCCACTGTATTGCCTAACCCTGCTGAAGTTAACTAGTACAAACCATGCAGTAAAATACTATTTCCAACCAAGATATCTACAGTCTCTACAACTGTCCAAACTTCAATTACACAAAAGAACCAAACGTTTTGTTGCTTTACACAACTGACAGTTATTAGGTCAGAGAAGTATAAGGGTGAAAAGTCCAGTAAAAATACAGTAAGACTGAAGAGTCATCCCCAGGAAACAAGAAGCAATCATGTACACAAAAAGCAGCTACTACAAGGTTAAGATGTTGAAGTCCAGCACCTACTCTGCACTAGGTATGTAGATGTGGATTAGCCAACCCATGGGAAGTGATCATATGATTCCTGACCCATGAGGCAGTCAGGCTAGATAGTAACACAAAGTCATCTACCACAAATTATCCTAGAGAACACGTGTGCTTTCAACATGTGCCTGTGACATAACTTCTTGTACAGAATCTCGTTCTGCAGTAAGCAGCCTCCTAAGACAAAGCTACGAAACCTCCCCACAAACAGAACCATCAGGTAAACTAAACATGTTTTTATGAATTTCTTTTTAAAAAAAATCTTATATTAATTTGCAGTAAGATAATAAAAATTTGGCTTGAAAATAGGCTTCACTAATTCAGACTATATCATTTGCAGTACCTTGAATAGTAAACTGAACACAAGTCAGAATTACATACTTCATGTACATACAGCATCTGATTATTTCCAGTGGTTTAGCTCTACCTCTCATTTTGAGCAATGTTTCTATTCTTAGGTATCAACCTGAAAATGTTTACAAGAACCAGATCATCCAGGCCAGAAAGTGTGCCGCACACCTCCAGTTACTCCAGAATAGGTTAAGCAACCGTGACAGTTTCCCATCTTGGTAACTATTGCTTTTTCATCTATTATACCAATGATGCTATCTGGAGAGAGTAGGTAATTGATTATATTCTCTAACACGCTGACAGATCATTTTTTTAATAATGCGAGAGACAGTATCCATCCAGTAAGCAAGTAATTGAAAT